TGACGCAATATAGCAGTGACACTATCAGAGAGGAGAAAAAAATGCATTGCTTTACAGGCGGCAATGATGTGCTGGTGAGGGGTTAATAATATGAACGTCACAAATTATGATGTTCTTACGTTTAGTATATTCGTCCTATTCTAGGCCAAGACCAACTGGCAAGAACATTTAAGTTTAATGTGATCTAATACGCGCACACAAATGGAACTCCACACATTATATTGAAATGTCTGACGTTCATAAAATACACTTTCAAATTATTATACGCACACATGTATTATTAATTCTACACAATAATTGTTTCAGTAATTCTCGTGCGGAGAACATTACGCGCAATGCACAGTTTGCAATTTTGTCGCAAGCAAGTTTAACTTAGGAGTGCACTGGCCTGGGGCACATAATATTACATCTCGTGTTGTCCTATGCACAATATACGCAACCCGCATGCATATTTTTCAACTTCTTCACAGTGACTGTATTTGTTTAGTGCTGCTGATGCGTACTGGCTCTGATAGGCTGTGAGAAGCTCACGTCACTTTCCTTCAGATCTTTAAGCCCACTGAAGCATCACCTCTAAATGTACTTGTAATGTGTGCCCTGTCGGTCGTATCTTTTGTCTATATTCCGAGGAAGAAGTCGGCTCTCTTACTTAAAGAAATCGGTTACTATCAATCCTTTTTGCAAATGTTGCTGCCATTTAAGATGGCACCAAATTCATAATTTAACTGTAATATTGCCGCTTTATATAGCTTGTTTTTGGTTAATTGTTTTCAACATGTTTCTTTTAACAAATGCTGAGCCCAGCTTTATCCATTGTATTCTGCACCTATTCATAATTTCATCACTTCGTATCTCCACTGCTGGACGAGAGACTGCCATTCCTCGTCGTATGCGCAGATCCATCAATCCACCTAGCTCCTAACACACGAGCTGATCTCATTGCTGTTCGTTCTCCACTGTGGATATCTCCCCGGCACCGTTCCCTCCTTTGGCCTACCACTTCCTCATTAGCCTCAACCACCAGTCCATCATCTCCGTGTAATTATAAGCACGCATCCATCCATCCCTCCATTCTCTATGCACTTTTAAACTTTTGTTGAAACCTTTTTTTTTCGTTTTCAAACAATATCATAAGCTGGTAATATGCACTCATTACATGACGAGGTTGATCATTATTATTCTATTATTGGTTCTTTCGGTAAAGTCACGTAGAAGGGAAACAATAAAATAATAAAAATATGAAACAATCAAATTCTCACGACGTTTCGACTGCAACACACGCAATCATCATCAGGTGTGAAAACCACAGCAATATTTTTTTTATTTTCTTGCTGTGGTTTTCACACCTGATGATGATTGCTTGTGTTGCAGTCGAAACGTCGTGATTATTTGATTGTTTTATATTTTTATTATTTGATTGTTTCCCTTCTACGTGACTTTACCGAAAGAACCAAGAATATGAATGCCTGCAGTCACGAAAGCTTTAAATTATTATTATGTTTAGCTTTTCAAATACACTCCAACATGCTTCTTGTCCTTGAATTGCCATTTTGATTCCACGCCAGATTGTCTCGCTGTCTGAGGTATTCAGACTCTGATGGGGTCCCCCACCCCCCGGTTATGTTTCCCCCAACAGATATCTTAATTATTCTGGTAATCTACCCCGTTAACATTTGTGGTGCTCCATTAACATTCACAAAGACGTTTAACGTGGGAAACCAATGCGTTCCTATTTACCTTTTAAAAAAATTGAAACGTTCACCTCCAAGATGTACACAGTACCGGACAGGGAAACACCTGTTATCCATCATCCTTTTAATCATGATTACTTTAATCCGTGGAAGTCTGGGGAGCCACTATTCTTCCGCTTATCTGTGCAACCCCAAGGATTTGCAGATAAATTAGATGACAGATAATAAATACCGCTCTCCGCTCCTGTCTGCGATTGCAGATGCTGCGCGCAGCTATATATGTTTAAAAAATAAAGGGGGATCTATGCCGGCATTATGATGGCTCTTTTGCAAAGGAAACCTGTCATGTGATGATTGGTATATGAGCTCAAGATCCCCCGGGTCCTGTTAAACAAATACTTGCACTGAACTGGCATTCTACTGCATGACTTAAACTGTAGGACGATGTCGGTGAATTAAATTCCATTTTTCATCATGCCATTTGAATATTTTTCGCTTTTATATGGATTCAGTCGTGCTAGATCCACTCCAACTCGACTTAAAAGAAAAGCCCTCAGCTTTGTTTAGACGAGCCAGTGCATTAGTCCAACTCTGGGCGAATTTCAAAAAAATCAAATCTATTGACTTTCTGACATTTTTTGGCATCATGTTTTAAGATCCCTGTCAACACAATCAAATGTCCTCAAGGCATCAGATGCACTGCTTATGAGAGTGATCGATTCCGCAATACCTTGTCAAATCAAATGGGTCATCAACTTTGCAAGTCGCACCCAATAGCTACGTTAACTGCTGCAGTGCTTTATTGACCATTAGCGCAAGCTGGTGTTTTCAATTTTCACTCTCACTTCACGTGGCGATGAGTGTAATCAACATTTATTTTTTTCTCTCGCATTGTAAACCCTTCAACGTTTTCGCCAAGTTATGAGGGGCAACAAAAGTTTGTACACTTACGCATCGAGTAAAATGCGTGCATAAATTAAGTAGCCTAATACGGAAGCACCGGTCCGTTTTAATTTACTGCAGGCCATTACTGCATTATAGCCAAACGACTTTTGTTACGGGTGTTATTGAGCCATGAGGTACGGGATTTGTCATTGTAATGCGACAAAATGAAGGCTAAGGATTACCAGCTGTGCGCGGTGTTAATGTAGAAAATAACCCTTTTCAGATGTAATGTTGTACTTGAACAGGTGTCTCCAGCATGCTCGATTGCCCTGCACCTTGCAGCTGCCCGCGTTAGCGCGACAATTTTGCGGCACACTCAACGTGACATGCGCTTGCACGCTGATGAGGTATCATGATGAGTTAACATCATCGTTCTCAACTTCAGCCATGACATATCCACTGCTGGATGAATGTCCCCCCCCCCCAGTTGGTGCGGTCTTGGGACACGCCACGTAGCTCCTGCACGACAAAAGTTGCTTTCATCGCTCCGTCTCCGCGATCAACGCTCTCTCTCCGACACGTTCCCTTTTTTTTTTCTATGTCCTATACATTATATGATAACTCCTTATCTACAAAAAACAATCTATAGGGGCCTGAGGATCCGAGATTATTTCCATTATCTGTGTATACCCAAGGTGAAGCGGTAATTGCTCGCCCTCACTACAACATGAGGAAGAGCGATTTGCTGCAATCCTGTGTTATTCTTATCACAGACGACTCCTCCCATAGCCAGGGAAATGGTTTTGGGCACGAGAGGGCCCCCGTCGCCTTATTGATTTCACACGTGTCCACGAGAGTGGCGAGGTGAAATTAAAAATCTAAAATATCATTCAGCCGTGGCCGGGTGCGGGCAAATAGGAGTCCACGCTTTCCGGCCCCGTGATGCCACACCGCGCCTGATGAACCTTTTGGCTCGGATGGCAAAGTCAGATTGTCTCTTTTTAGCGTTGTCAACCCTCTGTTGTCTTAACAACACCCCCCCCCCCCCCCCCCACATTACTTGACCAGTGTGTTTCTATTTTAAGTGCAATGCTTTCAGAATACCATACAGCATTCGACTCCTTAAAGAAAGACGTATCTGGCAAAAGCCTTTTATTTACATTCCGATAAGGGGAGGGGGGGGGGGGTGACAGCCCATCAACCTTCTGTAGTAAATGAAATGTGCACAATAGGACATTGTGGGAAATGACGTCGTTCCCTACCATAGGAATATGGAATTGCCACAACTGGCTCAGCGCTAACACCGCCAACAGTCTTTATTCTTTGTCGTTTTACTGATTATTATTTATTGTGTCCGAAAAACACACAATAGTCGACATTCCTTTCAGCTGTTTGTCAAGCCAGTCACGGGGGTTGTTTGACCATACTTCACCATTCTGGTGAGTGAGGGTTTGTGAAGGGTGGGGGGGCGCTCCCAGGATTGGTTCAGATATCACTCCCCACTGATGTTAGCCGTGGCCAGTAATCATACTCATAGTCAATGAGTTGTTCATGCACAAAACCGCTCACGGACACCAACCACTGAAGATAAAAGAACAAAGATCCTCCGTATAGCCTTCACAGACTGTTGAGGCAAGTGCTGTTCGCGAGCACCTATTAAGGCCGGCACGGCACACGAGGGGGTTGGATGGCCAGCAACCACGACAGGGGCGATGTTGACACACCGCACCAGGTACTCATTTGAGGCCGAGTTGACCTAGGAGCTGGTGCTGGCCGTGAGCGGGGAATCGAACCCGGGGTTCACCGACCGCCGACGCATTCATCCTTGTAGCCAAGGCTGCCAATTAACGGCAGAGAAATAAATAGTTTTAATAAACATTCGCAACGGCTGGCCGCTTGGTTACTGTGGCTGGACATTGTGTGCGGGGCGGTGGTAGAATGCATGAGCCACAACAACCACCGCAGGGCAATGCTCGAGAAGAGAGGAGAGAAAAAAAAACATTCAAAAGGAGGGGGGTGAATTGGCGGTGGTTGGTGCTTGGTGGTGGTGGTGGCGGGGGTCGTGGAATGTGATGATTAAAATACGGAGGGAAAAAAAACCACGTGAAGCAGTGTCACAGGGATTGTAGCAGCCCCCTCTGCCGAAAGCTAATAACCAGACGAACTGCGCACTGAATACTGCGCGACGTGGCGTTATAAGCTGCGTGTACAAGTCGAATCCCTGGTATTTGAATGCAAGATACCTCCTCCTCCTGCTGCTGTTGCTGTTGCTCGCTCGTCCCCTACCCATCCCACTTGACTCCTCCTTTCCTCCCGTCAGCCTTCCCTCTCCGCTTTTCATTCCAACGCCACACTGCACCCCCATCATCCCCGCCACCACAACCACCCCGCACGCCCCAAGCCGCCGCCGCCGCCGCCACCGCTCCTCCATCCACACACCGAGCAAAACCCAACCTCGCCCCCACCTCCCCCCTACATCCCACCCACCCCACCACAGTCTTCTCTCGCGCTCCGAGGTCCCAAACCCGGCCAAGCCAAAGCAAGCCCTCGGCCACAACAGCGTCGCTGTAACAGAGGAAGATAAGGCTCTCTGCCGTTCACGAGATCGCTGCTGGGATCTCCGTCGAGGGGTCTCGGGGTTCGGGCGAGGGGGAGGAAGTGGATTTTAGCGAATTGAAAGTCCAGAAGCGCGAACGACGCAGCCGTCAGCCGCAACGACAGAAGGCGACGGCGAACAGCTCGGTGAGAAGAGAAGTGAATAAGATAAGTGCTGTTCAGATTAAATGTACTGTAATGACGGATCGAGGTCGCGCGCTCCTTAAATACCAATAACAATTGATGCAGCCCATGGCTCACACAGACTCGCAGGGGCGGGCTTTTACAATGGATAAAAAAGACGCAGAGAGATAGAGATACGGGGCGTCGGGTTCTTCGGCATTACAGCTCTTGACCACACTGATTTCTCATCGGCGTGCCACAACTCTGTCGCTACTGCGCGTGCGAGAAGAGCGCGCGTTTCCCAGTTTTTTTTTTCAAGTTCGAGCCGCTTCGGATGTACGCTGCGCGTGGACTCCAAGAAGCAGCGGCAAGGAGTGGTGGTGCTGGTGGTGCTGGTGGTTGGTGGTGGAGGCGAGGAGAGAGTCGAGGGCTGGTGGCGGTTGCTGGCGAGAAGAGATTTTCCTGCGGGCCACTTCTTCTTCGCCTGAGAGGCAGGCACACTTAGGAGCGCCGTGATGAGCGTTCCCGGAGTCGTTCCGGGCGCCGCGCAGTGTGGTGCCGCGTTGCTGCGAATCCATCTGCCCGTACTGCTGCTGCTGCTCTTAAACGGTAAGCATCGGTCCAGATTCACCTCGGACTCGCGGCTGGTGAGAGGAGTGGTGATGAGCCGGGGGCGGACAAGCGGTGGATGTCATGGTTGTATCGCACTGCGCTACGAACCCGGATTGACCCTAGCTCCAGGAGCCTCGCTCGCGGCTGTAACGTCAGCGACGTGATAGCTCTGAGCGAGACTCAGGGAATCGTGTCACCAGAGCATCCACTGCTACTTAGGTCGACTCGGCCTTAAACGAGTACCTGGGGCGCGGTGCGTAAAACCGGGGAGGCAAAAAAAGTGGCCGGACCTGGGTTCTGGTCACACCACCAAACCTCGCGTGCCACGCCGGCATTCATAGGTGCTCGCTAACAGCACTTGCCCCAACAGTCTGACAAGGCTACACGGGGGGGGGGGGGGGGTATTTGTCATTGGATGCCAAACTTTCGACATTTGAACCGATATTGTTTTCGATAACATCACCTCCCCTCGCCGCGTTGCGCTGTTGTGCAGTTCGATGCTGCACCGCATTTGTCGCCTTTCGCTCCGCTGGAAATTTTTTTAAAAGAAAATTAAAATTTCACCAACGTCGATCCACTGCTGGATGAAGGCTTCACCACATTGTGTCTGTCGGTCGTGTTGATTATTTTACGACTTGCTATACTTTAGCCCGCTGATCAGTGGCCAGCGCAGGTTGATTTGGGGAGGGTGGTCCTACGAATCGAATTAAATACAACGTGGACGAACCCATTGTGTCACCACGGCACTCCAGTGAAATATAGCGACTATTTGTACGGCTTTTATATATTTACGTGGGCATTGTAATTCCGCAGTTACAAAGAGTAAATTCATGAAAGTATCTGAAACTGTTATCTCTTGGGGATGGGTGGGGAGATCAATCCCTTTCAGATATCACCACCCACTTCATATCATGCACGCCGTGGCCAAGAATCAAACTTTGATCACCGCTCCATAATCCCCACTGAAATAAAAGTATTTAAAAAAAAATCAACCGACGAACAATGAATCCGGGTTTTTTTTTATAAATCACGTGCAGCCGCCACTGCTGTGCTCGCAAGCCAGCATGATATGAATGCTCTGTAGATTTGTCAATTATACCGACGATGTAGCGGACTTGGCAAGTAAAATTAGATATGTTTACAGGGGACTTGTGTAGCAGTCGCATTACATAATCGTATTCATGGATGCTTATTTGAGTATCTTTTTTTTAATGAGTCTCCACATCCAGCGACGCACGAAAGTCACAATTTATGCGTTTATATTGACACCCGCAGAACGCAAACTGCGTTATCATGCAACGAATAAACAATTCATCCACTGAGCTGCGGGTGCCGGCACTGTATTCCATATGCATTTTTTAAATCAACGCTCAGCTGAGCAATCCACTCGAAACAAATCTTTAAATTGTGTGTTTTTTTTGCTTGAATACAACCCATAGAGGCTGTGCGACAGCGTGCCTAGGAGAACAATAATGATAATAGCTCCACGAAGAGGCGTGCGGTTAAACGGATAACAGGTCCTGTTCCCAGCGGTAACTGCAGGCAGGTTTTTTTTTTAGGATTTACATTGGGGCGTCAGCGATTGACGCTGGTGTTCTGCAACTATTGGTCGGGTTCTTTCACGCATTGGGACGCACGCGGTTGCGTTAGACTCCCTTATGCAAGATGATTTAATCTGGTTGCTCTCTCGCGCTCTCTCTCTCTCACCCCCCGCTTAGCTGTTATGTCGGGAGTCATTGCACACGTCCCGGCAATGGTCATCTCGGCAAGTGTGGTTGTATGCGTTGCTGGTGTCTCTTCGCAGAAAACCGTACACATGCAATGGCTATTTGTTCCCGTTGGTAGGGGTAATGCCGCATTTAATTTGTTTTAGCACAACAACAAAAATATAATCGTTTAGGTTTTCTAAATAATATATGAATAAATAGGTTACTGCCTGCAGCCGAAGCAGGACCCAAAAAAAAGAGTTATTACAAATGTTTTTTTACATGTTTCAGATTGTGTATATCTTCAATGGAAGCACACTATAATTGCGAACATAACACTGTCGTGTTTTAACATGTAGATTACAGTATCTTCTGTCCAACTTGATAAACATTAAATTTAGATTTAAAGCTTTCGTGACTGCAGGGATTCATATTCTTGGTTCTTTCGGTAAAGTCACTTAGAAGAGAAACAATAAAATAATAAAAAAATAAAACAATAAAATTATCACGACGTTTCGACTGCAACACAAGCAATCATCATCAGGTGTGGTTTTCATAGCTGAAGATGATTGCTTGTGTTGAAGTGGTTTTCACACCTGATGATGATTGCTTGTGTTGCAGTCGAAACGTCGTGAGAATGTTATTGTTTTATATTTTTATTATGTTATTGTTTCCCTTCTACGTGACTTTACCGAAATAACCAATAATTTGATAAACATTAGTTCTGGTTCATCCACCTTTTAAAATTACTGGTCAGCCACATCAAAGGTATTCCTTGTTTTATGTTTTAATAATTGCCTATCTGGATGCGTTTTAATACCGGCGATTATTTTGAATGCAGTCCACATTGCGGAGTGATATTGAGGACATATTTCATTAAAACTGGAAACAGAATAATTAACGAGAGCGTTCATTGTAATGCGTGCATCTTTGAAATAAAAACACGTTTATACCGAGTGAGCCACCACTGCTATTCACTGTCAGAATGTTTTCTCTAGATTAAAATTGTCTCTTAAGTCCAGGCAATACAATAACAAGTGAAAGACTAGCCATGGCCAATGCAGTATATTCCATTTTGTTATTTTAGTGTATGGTTAAAGTAAAATGAAACCCACAAAAAATACCGTAGATTTTATATTTTTGATAAAGGCAAATACTGTATAGGCAGAACTCTGCTTCTGCGCTGTCAACACATACACGTTTGTAGGCTATTAGCTTTTCAGTCCAATATTTGTGATCAATACACACCTACTACCTAGGTTTAGGTAGTTGGCCAACGACACGCGTTTCATTTATTTATTACATTTTTTTTTACTTTAAACTCACAGCCTCTGTCGCTAGCACACTCTAGTGACGCCACTGCTGCACTGACGCGTTAAACATGTGGGCGTGACGTCAGTGACATCCATAGAATGCCACTGACGGGAATTAACCATCACTTCAAAGTCTTTTATTTCCTGAATAACGAGGCTTCAAACACACATTTGCACAGACTACGTCATATACTGTTGCGCTCATGCCAAGTCCATGTATTCACATAGTATACGTCATTTCAGATTGCATGTTTTTTTGTGATGAATGCACAGCAACCCGGGTAGACGTGCTAACTTTGGGCCCAACGTTCCGTTGGCATGTGGCTGGAACCATGAGGCAAATGTTTGCCCAACGTTCCATTGTTTACCGAGTTATTGCCATGGCATTCACAGACAAAATAATGGGTTGAATGTTTAATGTGTTGCAACAATTGACGTAAATGCAGACATTTATTTTGGAGAGCAGTATTTAAACGCCCAGATACTGCATTTGAGATGTGTTTTTTTGTTGCAGTGAAATCCCTCGTTGTAGTTTAGAGGTAAATGATCTGGTAAAAGTGAAGACTAGTCCAGACGATTTTTCATCGTGCTGTGTTTGGTGTACGACATTGCACTTTGTATGTAAATGAGCACAAACTGCAATTGTAAAAATAGAGTACCATATTCGACAGCATTACTGTAATTATTTGCATCAGCCAACCTGCATTTTTCCCATTTCCTGTTTCATTTGATAATTTATTAAAAAAAAATACAGTACTCTCAACTGTGCAGTCATTCTCTGTGAATATGCCAGCTTCGGGAACTATCGGCCACACATTTATTCGCTTATTGAATGGCTCAATCAATTGGCCCGATGGTAGCGTTTATGTCAAGAAAGCACGGTGTAACAATGGCCCAACGTGACCTCTGGATTAAAGACCGATTGCGTGTTCTTAATACGAGGCGATCTGGCCATTGGATAGACATTGATTACACATTAGTAGTCTCAATGGAACTCTGATTATGTGTGAGGGATACAGTTCTTACCCTTGCCCGAATGAAGAATCCGATTTCTGACAGATTCGGCTCAGCGCATAGCTTTCATTTGCATTATTCGGAAGCATGTTTTTTTTCAATTGCAACAAATCGTACGTACTCGTAAACAATTTTGTATGCAACATTGCCCTCCAATGTTCTGCAATAAAACACAAAATAGATAGCAATAACAATTGAAAAAAAAATGCCCTTGCTCGTATGCCAGTGCTTCTCAATCGTCTTACCAATGCAGTGTTGTTAAGGTGTGTTTCACTTTGTGCATTCGTGTGTTACGTCGCTACAACGTGGTGCTTAACGTCCCCTATGCATTCAAGATGCTTTTTTTTCCTGCACGGTATCAATGCTGCCTGTGCCGTCACGGATTGAGACCGCTGCCTTTAACTGTTTTACTGCTACTGCTTTAATATAGAATGATCAATATCGCCGTTAACATGCTCACACATGCAACTGGCCAAAGAATCCAGAGTGTATGGACAAGTACTATATATAATGGGTATAGTCCGTCTACGGATATTACACTCATGGGAATTATACTACTATACAATACATTATAAAATACGAGTGGAATTAATTTGCATGCACTTCATGGGTTCCACATTACCCTTCCAGCTACTGGAGGTGCCATCATTCACTGCAATGTCAATAAAATACACGAGTTGGCCTGTGGCTTCATCTGCAGCACTAAAATAATGCTGCCTGCCACGCGTGTTTCACTCTACGCTTACTACCCGGATTTCAAACAGGGAGGTTCGCATGTTTCTAGGCCCCCTGCCCCTTCCTCTTAAGGCTGCACTCACACTGACTCCTTAGACCTTATTCCTTCTGGATTAGCACCCCGACGTCCTCCCCATTGTCTCTTTCCCCTTTTGGCTCCGCACCTTTCCTTTTTAGGCCCCGCCCCCTTCTTATATAGGCCCCGCCTCTATGTTTCGCCCCCCCCTCC